TTCCAGGTTCAGGTTAGCCCCGGCACGTTAGGCTCCGGAGTGTTTTTGGGCTTTTTGATGAGCCGAACGACTGGAGATAGAAACAACACCCTAAGCCGGTGGGAAGGGAGCCATTGCATAACAATTCGGAGACTGAGATATATAGGTTGCAGGAATATCTGTCCATACCAGGTTGCCTTACCCATATCAGTATGCACAGTTTGTTCTTTTGATACTGAAGGTTGGCTTACTGAGCATCCTCATGTTTCATGTTACCGTTCCAATCTTTTCCCGTATGTCTTGTACGGAGCTTTGTACGAGGCGAAGCTTTGACTGATGTTCTCGAAGCCGCTTTTCGAGTCCGTGACCTATTTCTTTTTGCGCAGGCGGAGAAGGCGGAGAAGGATGAATGGCTGGGCTTGCTTGACATGTGAAGCGGCGAAGTCAACACCATCTCTGGCCCGACATGTTTTCGGCCTCGATTGACGGGAGGGGGATAGAAAAGGGGTACTAAGTCCTTGGAGTAAAACCCAGAGCCCGCTTCATCACCTGGCATCGACCCCGATGTTCATCCCGGTCGAACATCATTGAGGATCTCGCTACCTCCCTCGAAATGTACCGAGTCAGCGGATAACCTGAAAAACTCTATTTTGGGGAGTCAGTGGTTTCCCCACTAAACAAGACTACCAGCAATCACAAAGGGGTGTTTAATGGAGGTTTAGGGTGCCCATTATCCACTCACTTAGGGACTAAAAACCACCCCGACATGTGACTCCTGGTAGGTGGAAAAAGGTTAGCCTTTATTTTCCTGGGAAACGGCTCGGGAGTCAGTCTTAGGCCCTAGGCCTGACCAACCGGTGACCAACTTGACCAGTGTACGTACAAGCTTGCTAAAACTGAGTATGTCTGTCACCTCTTCTCTTCTGGTCAGCGAATTGAAGAACGAGCATGAACGAGCTATATACATTGACATGTGCTTCTTCTTGCGTGGGACCACAAATATGGGTGAATCCACCTGATGAAATCCGATGGTGTCGACGATCGCTTCTGTTTTTTGGGTCGACGGCGTTGATGCTGTCGGACCGCGGGTCGAAGGAATGCGAGGAATGGCCGACGGAGGTCACTGTGCGCTAGAGTTTTGGATGGGTACACTGGGTACACTGTGCTGTCTTGCCCTCAAGATGCGATATTTTAAAGGTCATCTCATGAGTACCAAAGGGGCTTCAGTGAACTGACATTGATAGCCCAGGTGGTGGCAAATCCTTCTTTCAGGTAGTGAACCAGCCCTGAAAGAAGTTGCTGTCATGTTGTGAACCAAGTCTTCAACTAATTCCAGGCTCAATCCATTTTCGTGCCTTTTCATTTTCTTGTTTGTTTTTTGTCATGTTGTTTTTTGAACGAAGAGCATACTTAGACGGTTCTTCCAGTGTCACTCACCTTCATGTTTTGAGTAGGCGATGATCATGTGGCCGCAGTTCATGTGGCCGCAGCTCGTGTTTCATCTGTGCTTTGAAAAGCCCGGAGTCCCAAGAGTCATTCCAAGCTGGGACCCAGAAATTCCCCATTGCCCAACGGCTCTTCCAGTGTTTCACTTGGGAACTCCAATTTCATCCTTGGAACTCGTCCCTGAAAAATGCCAGTTACCAGTCGCCACTATCCAAGTCGCAGGTTTGAGTGTAGTGTGCAAGTTCGGCGCTGAGTAACCGTGGGTTTGTACTGAAACTTCATGCCATTTCAGGCTTAAGGAGGTGACAGGCAATTCAACCCCAAAATGGTGAACATCCTCGTTCCATGCCCTCGACCTGCGGTGCCACACTGGGGGTTCAGGGATGGCGAAGCGACAGTAATCCGACCACCACGGAAGTGGGTCCCACTGCCGTTGCTGCCGCTTGGTCGTGTGGAAAGACTGCAGACATGGACAACTACCAAGAAAGGTTGAGAGACCTGAACTGAGACCCTATATACAGGGACACAGATGGGATAGCCTGCCAGCAGCAGGCTGCCCACGATCTCTAGGCTATTATGGAGCTGCTAAAATAGACACTGAGCAAGCAAGCAGTTCCTTTGCGAAATGCGAAAGGCAGCAGTCCAACAAAGCATAGAACCAAGGTCCACGCGTTCGCAGGGAGGACTGGGAGCAGTAGAGTTTAACAGAGCAAGAGCGAAAGCGAAAGAGCGTAGAGCTCCAACAGTGAGAGCAGGCTGCCAGTTCGAAGGCGTCAAGGATCAACATCTAAGCGGTTTGGTTTCATGCAAAAGCATGTAATGTATATAATTCAACACAAAGGCACTATATATATATGTATATTAGAATTCACAAAAACACTGAAACAATCAGAAAAGCAACATACACATGCAGATATTATACATCTAATCGTTAGACTTGTCTGAAAAGCGCGGCAGGCAACATGCAGTGCTTCCCTGTAGGGCGCGTTTTCCGACGGTTGGTGTTCGTCCGCCTTGAAAAGAGTGCGCGAGTCCAAGCTGACTTAGGAGCTCCATGTGGGTTAACACCTGGTATATAGGCTGAACATTCCATTGAAAAAAAACATACGACTTTCCTTGAAAACATACCACTTTCCTGGTAATACATTCCGGTGAACATTGACATTTCAACAATGATTATATATATATACACACTATGGACGTATATGTATTACCAGTTGTGTTGCTTCTTCTTCCACTAGTCCTATCTCATTTGGGTGTTCAGGGTCAGTGCCAGGGTGAGTCTGAGTGTACCCAGCCCTCCTGCAGATTTTCAGGGGTGCTCAGAACATGGTTTCCCCATGGTTTTCTCCATAGCCACCCCCTGATGACAAAGGAATTAGGTTCCTCCAAAAATAGCACCAGCAAAACGGTATTACATAGGATGAACCAGTTTCCACTTATATACCTCCGACAAATCGTAAGACACTTGCATCCAGTATAATCCTTTTGCTTCATGTTCGGGCCGCTCCTGGGGTTTTGGATTCTTTGTCGTTGCCAAAGAAACCAGACAAAGCAGGACCCACAGTGGTGATGTCTTCACCCTAGGCTTCCAACCACGATTGATTTATATCATGGCTTTTACCCAGCAAACACTGTTTTACTAAGGGTTTTAACTACAAAACCAGGTCAAGCATTTTGTCGGCCTAGGGTGCCTGTTTGGGGCCTCACCCGTGGGTGTGATCAACCACAAAGACCAAGACGCTGGTCTTGGTGTGTTTTTGCTTTTTGCTTTCCAAGCACTAGATCAAGATATGAAGAGGAGAACATTTCATGTGTTGGGCCCTGTTCCACTTCATTTGTTCCCCGTGACTAGAGAATGGTTCTCAAAGTAAGGTGGCAGAGGGGCAGACATGGCATTGTTTCAAGGCCCTTTCCTGTAGATACTGTAGGAAAAGCCTATGTAAATGGATTTCGATCTAAAAAAAAGAACCATTGCCTGGTCACAGGAAGAACCGCTTCGCCGCTTCTTGTCTACAATGGCCGTCTCCGCCTCGCGATGGCCGAGATTGAGCATGCACAGTTGGGAGAAACACACGGCATGAGGGCAGAAGCCGTGTAAAGGCCTTCGTTCGTTCCGTTTACTATAAGTGTTATTGTTTTACTGTTGTTGGAGGTTGTTTTAAGATCTTGAAATACTTGCAACGAGAATGTGAGACAGCTGGCCAAGTGGGGACTCCAGGAACAACACGTTTTTCTCCGCATGTATGCTGGCCCACCGTCCACTTTGTTTGTTTTGGTAGATCAGCCAGGTGAGGTGACCGAAGGCGACCGAAGGCAGCAACGAGAAGCACTCGGGATGACTCTTGCTCAAGCTGCCAAAGGTTTTCAGAATTCCCGCATGGTGTGTCTTGCATTGGGAATGGTGCAAACACAGGGTTTAGTCGGCCAAACAAGCTGATTGAGCACGTAAAAACACTTGAAAGAACCTCTCAGAAAAAAACATGTGGCGAATGTACACAGCCTGGCAAAACCAAGATCCTTTTCTTTGCTCAGGACCCAGGTGACCCCGAAAGGCTTCGGAGTTGAGAGAAAGACTCAGATTGGGCAAAGCAATGAGGACAGGTGCCTGGACATGTTCTTCCACATTCATTTGTCGTCCAACACCCGCGGCCGTTACTAACAGCTTTTTTCTTTTAAAGAGGGAAACACCTTGCAGCCCACATTCATCACCACTGCGATGGCCATCACCAGGAAACTTTTTGATGTTGACCAAGTGCCATCGCCAGCACCTGTGCTCTCACCTCACGCGGCTCTGAAGAGCCGCGGCATGGGGAACCAGTGCTGCTGCGATGAAGACCCCTTGAACAAGCCCGTCGATGCCAACGCCCTTCGGCGAAGTCGACGACGTGGGTGAGAGAGATTCCTGGAGGATCCAGCATGGTCATCGAAGTACTAAGAGAGAGAGAGAGAGCCTGAAAGAACTGCAGCATGTTTTATATGAGTTCTCAAACTGAGCCTGCCTGACTTTCACACCCTTCTTTTCAAAGTAAACTCTTCAGTACTCACATGGTCTGCCTTCAGTACAACGTCGGTCCTTCCAAGTGCACCGCTCTTCTCTGCTCGGTTGCGGCCGCAACCGCACCGCGACGGGTCGCGACGCGTCGCCACGCAGGTTCTGGTGTGGCGACCGGACCAGCCCTTGTCCCTCGACTCGATCCCAGGGCCGAAACGATCTCCGAACGGAAGAACTGGCCGCCGGGGAAGATCGAACGCACCGAAAGGGCAGAACCGGACCCAAAGCCTTGCAGCCTCCCATTGACCTGGATTCGAAATCAAACGAAGGGTCAGCGTTTTGGTCGAAGCGTCCGGTGCAGCTCTAGGGCGCTCCTGGCTGCTCGGCACACACTCACTCACCCAAAGATGTGGTCGCCAGGAGGTGTGGGGAGCCCCCTTGTTCTCAACAATCGGTTGTGTTTCCAGATGTTCAAGATGCGCATTTCAAGAGATCTGAACATGTAGAAATTCATAACATCAAAGATCTGAAGATACATCTTTGAGCCATTCTCAATCATGAGGGTTCATGGCTCAAAGAATGTATAAATGGAGACGGAGGGTCGCCAAAAAAAATCAGAACGGGTGCTCCTGGGATTTATTTTTGTGCAACACATGTGCAAAAAACACTGTGGTTTACAGTGTTGTTTAGCTGAAACATTACTAACACCCAGGTTTTGATTTGTTTTGCTTCAATTTGTTCAGACCAGGCCTACAAAGGTTTAGAGGGAATACTGTACCAAAGAAAACAAAACACAACAAACAACATAGTTAACACACAACAACAAGAACCAACAAAAACACAAACAACAAAACATGTTTGAGACACAATGAAGGCAAGACCAAAAACCAACAAAGGAATTAATCAATCCAAATCCTACAGTAACCTCATTTTATCTCAAGCATTGTTGTTGTTTTATGTTTGTGTTTTTTCTTTATGTCTTTTTGGTATTTGACTTTCTTTTGGTCTTGTTTTTGTTGTATTCCATCTAAACCGTTCAGATTTCAAGATTCAAAGCCAAACAGCTTTGGCCGATATTGAGAAGAAATGAATACACATGACCAAACAGTTATTGATATTGGACAAAGAAGAGTCAAACTGAGAATGCTTATCATTGGTGTTACACATTGATAGTGGGCAGACGAAGAGCTAGTTTTTCTAATTGACCTTGCACATGGAGATTGGACACAGGAACATGTGTTTTTGATATTTTTTAAAGCTAGTGTGTGCTCTCCCAAGCACTCCCCCTCTCAAATAACTCTGACATTGACTATAGTATGGACTACTTTTTTACATACTATACTATACATTGACTACACCTTTTTTCACCCCCGTCCTCCGGACACCGGAGCCAGCATCGCGTGTCGCGTGTCTCGTGTCTCCTCTCTGTCTCCTCTAGGCGTCGCCCGGAGCCCACAGCGGCGGATCTCCTGAAGCGCGACGAGCAGCTGGATGCGGCTTTGGACCGGATAGGCCTCGTGCGACCGAGGAGGACGATGAGCGGTCGAGCGGTCGAGCGGTCTCGACCAAGCCGAAGCCCAGAAACAGACAGAAGGTGGTTGGTGGTTCCAGTGTGGTTCCGTTCTGATGGGCAAGTGAGATCCTGAAAACAACTAAGAAGTGGTTGGGACATTGAGGAGTTCTGGAGTTCTTTTTGAAAGTAAGACATGGTAAGACACTGACGAAGTAAGAACAGGAGTGCTGTGCATGGAAGTGGACGGCATGGTGTCACTTGCCAAGATCCCCTTCCTCTAGAAACAGGGGATGAACTCCACTTCCATTTAAGGCGAGTCAGGGTCTACAGATGTTTTGGGGGCCCGTGATGGATGGGCAAGGATAGCACAGTAGTCAAGGGCATGGAGGGAAGGGCTGAGGGAAGGACTGAGAAGAGAAGCCAAAGGGAGCTTCTTCCAAGCATCTATATATAACAATTATATGATGATGAACGTAATGATGAATTAATGCCTGTATATCGATGCTGCAATGCTGCATCATTAAGTTTCTTTGAACAAAGCGTTTGGTGTGAATGAACTCGGGCCTGGTGGGGCTGTCCTCTGAACGCGCAGAACTGCGCTGAAGGCGCTTCGCGCTCCCCAATAAACCCACCCACTGGCCAAACAAATGGTGGAGTTCTACATCTCAGTTGCAGCTGAGTTCTCTCCCTTCTCCTCCAAAACCTCAGTTTGTAAACCAAGCCCCCTAGTGGAATTTGGACGCTCGGACCCTTCTTTGAACCCCCCCCAAAAAACGCACGGAAGAAGTGGATGGATGGTCCTAGACTCCACCGGAAACTTCTCCACGTGCCTTGACCCACCAAACGGTCTTCACCGCGCCGCAACGCCCAACGCCCACGGCGGTCGAGCGTTCGTCACCGGCATTCAGCTCGACATCAACCGGATGACCCCTCGCCACGGCAGTCCATGCCGAAGGCGTGGACCGGGGACCTCGGTTGGTCCTTCGCGAGGGGGTGGGAGTCGGGTCGTTGGATAATTTGGCGCAAAAGGTGGTGGCCGTGAAGTTACAGTTGTTGAGTATGCCCAATGTGACGTGCCCAAAGGCTCATGGATCCTCAAATATGTCGCGTGCAATCATCGAAGCAAGGAATCACCGCTTTTGAGACTAACGTGGACCCTGAAAACCGCTGGTCTATAGTGGAAAGCAGTGCTTTCCTGAGGGTGCCATTCTCCATATGTTAGTTGGAGTGTAATTTCATGGATCATGGACGGCTTTAGAGAGCACATGCCCTTGAAGAATCTGACACTCAACATCCCCATACCTCAGCTAGAGCCGAAGGTAGGGAGGCTGTCCCCCGCTGGGACCCCACCCCAACCACCAAACCTTTTCGAATGTGGGCCAGGAGCACTAGGCAATTTATGTTTTTTCAACAATGGTTTTGTTTCGAAATGTTCAAATGCGTATATCAAATTCAACAGATCTGAACATTTGGAACTACATCTGATCAGAGATAAGACTCACCCACCCTATCCAACACTTGACCCAAGAGTAAACAGCACTTCCCTGAACACTTTCCATGTCCCATCATGTCCCTGCACATGTGCACATGGGCCCTGAGCTTTTTCTGCGCGCACCACACCCTTAGATGCGTCTTGTAGCATCAGGCTTTCTAAGGCCCAGCAGCTTCACGCGCTGCTTTGACCTCATCCAAACATTGGCCTTGTCGCAGGTGTTGGCGATAGACCCTGCTGTATACTTGGTTGTAGCCCATATTGAGCTCCTTGGGTTCCTCATCAACCTTCTTCTTTGAGCGGCTCTTTGCTGCTGCCCTCTTTGCTGCTTTGGGTTTGCCCTTCGCCACAGGTCTGCTCTTCGCCTTCGGTGCACACTTCGGCTTTGATGCAGCCCTTGGATCCTCCAAACCCTGTGCACTTATATAGTGCAGACATTGGTGTGGGCACAGCAAGTAGATCTTCCACAGCACGTAGGTCTCGGGTCGCGTTTTGGTAGAATCCGGATCTTGATATATTATATGGTCCATCAGTGAAAACTCGCTCTCCAGATGTTCCCGGGAATCGTCCATACTTGGAATATCTTGGAATGACTGGCAGAAAAGACACCACCCCAACAATCCTTGCGGAAATCGAGTTGGACACCTTGCAAATCTTCTCCGTCTGCAATTCCCCTATAGGCTTCCAGTCGCCCACCATTGATTCAATAGCCTGAATCCCAAACCACCATTGTTGGAACGCACCGAACGGTCGTCGCCCGGCCTCCAGCTCCACAGGCGGCGGAGGTGGCGGAGTTCCGGCGTTCCTCCCAGTACTCTCAGCGCTCGGAGACACCTGGCGGGTAGCGGGTTGGGCGTTTTTGAGGTCGGTGGGTGAGTTCGGGGGTGTCAGGATGGTGGCACTCAGTGCGACCTGGATGTCAGTGCGACCTGATGGTCTTTTGGTCCATGGTTTGATCCCAAACCAGCTGGGCCCAGTGGGCAAAAGCCTCGTCACGAAGTATGTATAAAACATGTGATGTGTTGCTGAATCCACGGGTCTGCTGATTAAGATCGACATTTGCTGAATCTCAATGGATGGTACTGATGAAGTCTTTGGAGATGTGAAATAGCAGGGATAGAACATATATTAGTCGTCGTGAGAAAGAGCAAGACACGAGTTCTCAGACAACTCCAGATATAGTGGCTAGTTCTGCTTGAGGTTTGTGGATCATGGCCTGTAACCCCTGAGGTTGTCCTTTCTCAGGGACTGCCAATCCGAGCGGCGGTTTGAACATCAAATCAGTGTGCACAAGCCTCTCAGACTACTAGTCACTACTATATTCACTACTATATTCACTGCTAGTCTCCGAAAACTTGATTCACAAAGCCTTGGGGATCGATGCCTCAGTATCTTCAGCTCAGAAGAGCCTCAGTATCTTCGTCTCAGAACTTCGAGTCGACCCCGGGTTGCAGATGTTTCAGGGGAAAACACACACATTCCAGCAGTCACAAGACGGGGTGCCGAACTTGGATGAAGTCGGGGTGCCCCTGTCACATCCACTCACTGGATGGGACTAAACACCACCCAACTCCATGTGACTGCTGGTTCATCTCATTTCATATATACATCATTATACATCCATCCTGTGGATGGAACACACCCTGTGGACCTGGTGGACCCTGTACCCAGAAGATCTCTGACTTCTCATCGATAGAATGTGCGGCACGGATGGTCATGGGACAAAAGGCACGAATGGTCGCACCAAGCAACAGAGTGCTTTAAATAAACACCATCAAACACATGTTGGAGGGTAGAACATGGTAGAACTGAGTGGGAAGATGTTCCAAAGAAGTCTCCTCAGTACCGCCTCAGCTCAGGTCGTCTCCTCCGATTCACCGTGTTTTGGGTGTCCGGTTCACCCAAAGGTCGCCAAGGATGGTGGCCAAGGATGGTCCCACCGTCAGTTAGACGGTTGATTATATATAGTAAAGCCTTCCCCCAGGCTTTACAGAGCTACTGCTATTATCCATGTGGACGGGAGGTGAGAAAGAGAATGAACAAGAGTCGAGTCTGCAGAGTCTGCTCCATGTGACGAATCGAAAGCTCGACTAAGGATATGTTTTCAAGAAGCACGGCATCAGCAGCAACTGCTTCAACCTCCCAGCAAGATCGGCGAGGTGCGCCAGAAAATCGACCATAGACGGACCCTTTCACGGCTCAATGTGAGTCTTGGGCAGGGGAAGCTGGAGGAAACTGTTATCCCAAAGAAAGCATATGGGCCCGATCGTTCGTAGACCCGAACACGCGCGTGTTCGTAGACCCGAACATGTGCTCTTGAAGTCGCTTCTCTGCGTGGCTCGCAGACCATCCGTGGGACTTTTTTTTTCTGATGCCATGCGGATCAGGTGATTTCTTATTTTCCCTCGTGGGCAAATCCTATGATTTTATTCCGGTTCCTTAAGCACATCCAAGTGAATTGATATCCAAGTGTACCGAATTTATGACCGCAATCGAGCGGTCTAACTCTTCCAGTCCCAGACATCGTCCGTCGTCGGGATATCGTTTCGGGTCTACCGGCGAGGTCGCACGACGCGGGATCGCGCGGCCTACGCAGGACGTGGACTCCAACGAGGGCTTACGCCCGCCCAGTGAGGTGAGCATGCCCGGGGGACATGTCCCGCAGCACGAGGCGCTGGAAACCAGAAACGGAGGGAACACCAGGGTCGGGGGGGTGGAACACGGGTGGAACACGGGGGAAAGGCTGCAGAGGTCCTGCGGAGCTTGGGTCTTCGAAAATTCCACTTCGTTTGAGGTGAAGGACGTCGATGTAGCTTTGGCTTCAGGATTGGCTCAGATGGCAAAGAACAGCCACAGGAATCGACTTTATGGACTCCATAGCCCATGGGATCCATATGTACAAGTGAAGAGGCTCCAAAAAGACCTATCCCAGTTAAAAGTGGACAACCTGCAAAACGTTTGGGGGGATTGATTTCCTGCCACTGCCGTCAAGTCAGTCAAGTTGCTTTCAAAGCTCCGTGATTTGTCTTCTGACGATGAACATAGCGAATCTCATCGCAGCAGCGGCAGGGAACGCAGCTGCTGCAGAAGTTAGTGGTTCAAGTGCAGCAGCGGCCAGGTTCCTGCAGTTGCTTCGTGAACGGTCCAGGAAGTCTTCCCAGCATGGTCATGAGGACTACCAGGCATGTCAGCTGGCCTCACAACCTGCTGCTTCATGCAGCAGGCACCTGCAAGTGGGTGCTCCTTTCTAAAGTCTTTCTATAGGTTTCACATTTTGGCTTCAACAGCCCAGGCGGCTGAGCAAACCAGGTGCCAGCAAGGGCTGGCCTATTCGTGGCTGGAGTGCAGGCACACGCACAGGTGGAGGACCTCTCGGGAGCTGGGCAGGGCTGTTCCATCCAGTCGACCACAGCGTGGCGACGTGGAACTGCGCTGGGCTCGTGGCTTCACTCCGTCACACTGTCTCTGCGTGGGCACCGTCGGACGGGGAAAGTTCGCTGTCAAGGACCTGTCGACACTGCGGTCCAACGGTTGAAGAACCCTATATAAGTACTGTATCCGATACCCCAGTAGGGTCCTATAAGGTCACTTAACCTCTCTTGGGTGCCGGTGCTCGCCGATGAAGTGTCGCACTTTCCAGCAGCTAAGCGCACAGATGCTGCGGCGGGCCACGAGAGCTCGGCCCGTGGGCTGGACTGCACCCGGAGCCCGCCTGTGGAGCACGTGAACGCTGTATTTTCGGACTCTTACAAAGACTGCTTTATTATCCCTTCCAGGGTCCTGTAGGGAGACCTGTAAGGACTGCTGGAAGGACTCCTGTAGATAAGGACAACAGACTTCATACTCAGGCCAAGCAGGCTTTACATTTGGAAGACACTTCCACCGGCAGGTGCAGTGGCTTGTGAAGTACGACGGCGACGCCGACCCGGCGGCCAAGGCGCCCGCGCGGCCACAGAGGTCGCCTGAGCAGAGCCCCGTCAGCGCGGCGATCCCTGTGGCCTCGTCCAATTCGTCGCCGCCGCACGCGCCGCCGCTGGAGACCTCGCGGGAGGCGCCGCAGCAGACGTCGCGGGAGGCGCCGTGGGAGGCGAGGGAGGGGCGAAGCGGCGGTGTGGGGAAGAACATCTTGGAGCGTTGGTCGGAGGGTCCAAGGGTGCACCAAAGCAAATGCAAGGCTCCAAAAGAAGGAGGTTTGCCCAGGATGGGTTTGTGGTGGAGTGTTCTACAATTAGGGAGGTCTGTATTAGGCGAAGTTACCTCATCTAGAGAAGAGCGGTTGAGAGACTATGTTTGTTTGCCGGAGTTTGGAATCCACCTGGCTCCAGTTGGGGAACCAACATCATTTGTGGATCCGGTTTGGGGAAAGGAAGCAATCTGCCCTGAGGCCGCACAGGTGTCGGAGGGTCCGCAGCCTGAGCCAGTGCCAGAGGTGGTGGCCGACCCCCAGGAGGAAGAGGTGTGCGCTGAAAGGGGGGGGAAAACGACGAAGACGGCGCGAACATGGAGGTTCCTGTTCATAAGCTTGTTATTGTTCAGTTTGAGTAGTTGCCAACTGTATTATATAGTATTATATATACTATTTATTATTGTAATACATAATATAGATATGTATTTATTGAGTAGTTTTCATTTTAGTTTTCTTTTGCGGGATGTTGCATGATTTTGCGGCATGAATCCTTGCATTCATCCTCAAGCATCCGAGCTAGGATGATTGACTTGTCTCTTTCAAATCCCAAAAGCCTGGCGCCAATGGGCTTTAGTACTCCCCAAACAGGGGGGAGTCCGACAGGTTGTTTCATAGAACACAGACAGCAGGTTCTGCCTTTGTCATGCTCGCAGTGGAAGAACCAGCAGCGAGTATTGGAAGGATTGTTCAGACATCGCAATGTTTTAAGGGTTTTGAAGGCACGATTGAGGATGGAAGCAACCTGAACCCATTCATTCTGAACCTAAAATGCGGTTGTCGATTGATTTCTTGAAATCTGACTTCCAGTAGGGGTAGGATCAGATCTGTCCATCAACAGGGTGGAGTTCCAAAATTTTGATGTTTGTGTTGTGGTTCTTTTTTTAGTTCACAATTCAGTGAAAGTCGGACATTCTCATCCATCAAAATGGGTGTGTCATGAAATAGGAAAAACCTCCCAAAGATCTCCTGCGCAAGAAGAAATAGACCAGTCTACCCATTGGTTGTGTGTCGCCTATGTATATAGCCTAGGGCTCCAACCATATCCTCAGAAGGTGGTTAGAACCCCCAAATCCACCCCATCCACCTTCTGAGGAGGTGGTTGGAGCCCTAGGGATATTAAAATACACACCCAAATCTCACGCACTCTTTCGAGATTCTCTAATTCCCATGGAGGTGGCCTCCTTCAGCAGGCGAAGCTGTGACTTTGAAAGAAAAAACCGGTGCCAACCTCCCCTTTGGACTCCCAGCCGTGGCTCGTCTCCCCTCGTGACATCACAGACCTGTCCGATGTGAGGCGGACGAGGAGGTGCCTCTGCTGCCAATCTGCTTTCAGAAGGAGGACGAGTCCTTTGAGGCCGGGCGTGCCGTCCGTTCTGGCCGAAGAAAGCCATCGAAAGCAGCGGAGGGAGTTCTGACTGGCGGTTCTGGCCGTGGTTCTGACAGAACTGTTGGACACCTTGATGAGAATCCATGAAAGACATATCACATGAATTCACATGAACACATGTCGTTTACGTGAAGTGTCCTTACGACCAATGACGACACATGTGACGACTGTGACAACCATAGGAGACCAAACACGCCGTTCGCCCCCAAGAACCCCCCCCCAAAAAGGTTGACCTTGCGCTGTAGTCTAAAATCCCTAGTAAAACCATGATGGTTCTTTGGTAAAGTCCCAGAGTCCCAACACATCTGAAAACAATGGCGGGCCACTGGAATCCTAAAACCATCGGCAATCTCCCATCTCAGCACCTGCTTGTTGGATCCCCATCGTCCGACGCGTCCCCTCCCACTCCACCTTCCGTGCCGGTGTCAGGCTTCAGTCGAAGGCCTATTTGAGGTAGCACAAAAGTATCAACTCTGGTCCCTTGTTTAGGTGAAGCTTGTTAGACAGCACGGTTGGGGATGTTCACACAACTGTTACAATCAAAATTGATGTTTAAATCTCATATACGTGGCCCCCAATGTTTGTTTTGCGACTTTCTGGGCAGCACATCATCATCTTCACTGAACTCATGCGACTCATTGGCTGATCATTCTCAGATCATATCAGTGGATGGCATGGCCCCTTGGATTGCCATCTTCCTCTAACAGCCAAGTGGGTCTCCAGAAAATTCCACTTCCGAAATCATTCACAGAGCAGTGTGTACCAGCAGTCACAGAGCTCGGGGTGCGGACTCCATGGAGGAAGGATAGGGGTGCCACATCCACTCACGTCACATCCACTTTCGCAGCCCTGGATGGGACGAAGAAAACCAGCCTGGCCTCCATGTGACTCCTGGTAACTCCTAGGTGAAAATGCTGGTGAGACATGATGGGTTCAGAAATGGATGCCTTTCAGGACGTCTGTCCTTGGTTCCCCGTCTTGTGACTTCTGGTATAGTCTCATCCAAGTCTCGAAGTCTCTCAGCGATCTGAAGACCCTCAACAGTACTCCCGAACGGCTAGGCTAGGCCATCATTGGAGCTGTTTGGGCCGCACACCGAAGACCGAAAGCAGCCATCATTGGAGCTGTTTCTTTTCCTCCTCCTTGCTTCGAACAAGATACCTCACGTCTTCGTCCGTATCTATAAAAGTCAGTCACACCGGTCACACCACGCAGGATCCTCTGAGAGGAGGCGTTTCTTCCCGGACACTGAAAGCGGACTTTCGGCCGAACCAAATTGGCCCAGGATGTCTTCTTCTTCGCCTTTCCCATTGGTTTTGATCTCAGCAAGCAGAAGCCCCTCACGGTGAAGCGCGGGCATCCCAGATGGGAAGAGATGGTGGCTGGCCGCTGGTGGCGCTGGTGGCTTCGTAGCCAAGATGGTCTGATCCAAGCATGGTAGGGGAGGAACCTTTCCTGTGTCCAACACACGAATCGAAGTAGACTGCTAAATCAAGTCATCGATGCCCTGCATATCCAGGGATACATGAATCAGTCACATATGCCCTAAGTCAAGTCATTTAAGTTCTGAATCTCTTAGACTCAATGCCCGGGATTCGCCCATCGTCTGGATCCACGCTCCGTGAGGGGAGTGAAGCCCGAGAGCTACGCCGAACAGCTCGGCGTCCAGGCGACGGGAGCCGGCCCGAATGTGCCGGGTGTGGCCGTCACATCGGTATTCAGAGATAGACCAAAGTGTCAGTCAGAGATCAGGAGGCGTGGAGGCATGGGTCAGGAGATCAGTTGGCTTTTCTTTTGCCAGAGATCCGACTTTCTCGACCCTCTACATGAAGAGATCTTTGATCTCCGTTCTTCTGGCCCATTGGGGGTTCGACTTTGGAGAACTATATATATTATAGATGGGTCACCACCATGGGCTTCTTCAGCACTTCAGCAAGTTATCCGGATGGAATCCTCCAAGTAGAACGTCACTGATGATTTTTCTATGCACTCTTTTCATGGATTTTGCCCGCTACCAAAGCCCCATCTTTTTTGTTGCGTTCTGCCTGATGGCAACTATGGGACATGAACTTCGAAGCCAACTGGATGGCTGCCCCGGTTGTTTGTTGTAGATGTCCACAAGTAACAAGTAGATGATGGGAGCGGTTACAAACATTACCCTTGAAAGGGACTTGACATTTAATAGCCTCCATGATAGCTAGGGCTAGGGCGATATATGTTTGCGAACTGCATGAGTACTCCCCTTTTGGGGGGAATAGGACGTCCTGTTCTGCGTTTTGGTGGAGCAAATCTATCGCTCAGACCATCCACGGGGACTGGAGATCAGTTGCATGACATGAACACCCCAATGACCCCAAATGACCCCAAATGACCTGGTAACTCTTTTGGGGTCATTGGGGTCATTTTGAGCATGGGGTTTGTAGGTAACTCTTCCAGTCCCAAGGATGGTCTGGGTATTTGCGAGGTCTTTTTGTTGAAGCCTCACAGCGACGAGATGCCAACACATTTCGGGCGACACTCGCCAGACGCTTTCGTCCAGGTGGGCTGGAAGATCATCAGCATCGGAGGGGTTGACGTGTCAGACATGTGTCTCGACAAGTACCGGAAAAGTGGGATGAAGAAGCAGGTGTTGCAGGATCATCAGGACCATGCAGGTCTAGTCTATCTTGGGATGGTTTTGTATCTGAAGATTCCGTTTCGGTGGGTGGGTATCAGGACCTTTCTTCATCAGATCACAGGAAAAGGCACATGTATTTCGATGAATACTGCTTGGTTGAGGTGCCTCGTTAAAATAAGCAGCAATTTGACACCGGGAGCGTGAGCCGGCATGTGCCTTAGATCACTCGAATGAACGAACTTTGGCACCTTTCAAATCGATCCTATGCTTCGCAAGATACTGTTGATGGACAGGTACGTGTAAGTTCTTATCAGGGTTCTGGCAGCCTGGTTCTAACATGTCTTCGGGCTAAGAAGTAAGATCGGCATAAAGACGGCGGCCGGTTGTACAGGATCTTACAAGCCATGGTTGTTTGTCCGATCCTTTCCATGGAGGTACAGTGTCTAAGTATAGAGGTACACTGCACTCTGTCTTTTTAAAACCATAGTATATTAAATGCAATTGATGTTCCTTATTTGTACGTACTACTTTGATTTGTTTCACTTCTGTTGCTGCAGTACAAAAAGCATCAAACAAACTAAAAGTCAACATCCACAATTTGCATCATATAATAATATATAAATACGTATTTGATATGCAGTGATGCTAATATGTTTGGTGCGGCTCTTTACCTCTCTCTTCACCCAGGGGGGCCACAGAGCTTCTGGTCGTTCTTGCTGAGCAGAAGAAGAAGCATCTTGGCTGAGGAGATTCCAACGACCGTCAGGAGACCCAGTCACTGCAGGTTGAACTTTTACAATTGGTTGGTTGATTAACGGGGGCAACCAATAGGCAAATTGTACCAAACCAACCCCTCAATTTTTCTCATCACTGGGTTGAACATACTTTCTTGCCCGTTGAAGGAGTACTCCACGACGTATACCCACACACACACACACGTTGTCTTATCTTCTACCTTTCTGAAGTTAAACCTTGGGCGATGCTAGTGGAACGGTATTTCATGGCAGATCAGAACCAACAAGAACTCCGCAACCTCACCCGCAATATAATAGTCATTGGCCCATAGTACTCGGTTTTTCGTTTGCACAGTACGACCGTAGCTTGTTCAATCGAGCTTGTTGCATGGAACTTGGGAGCTTTCCGTGTCCCTTTTGTACTTGGAACTTCACGGCGAAGGGATAAACATTGCCCTTGCGATCATACCTGCCTCACAAGTGGCACGAAGCCAGTTGTTCACTGGGGTATTTGTGCCACGAATGTTGAGGGGGTATAGTATAGAACCATTGTGGAGTAGAAAAAAACATGTTTATAGGACCTGCATGATCTCGAACAAATACAGCATAAGTCATATACAGTCTTTTGGCACGCACCATTTAGATGTGGATTGTCACCAGATCAGACTCCCACCTTCCTGTTTCTACTCCAAGATGATGACCATAGCTTTTGACCCTCTCAAGGATCAAAAGATCCCAATTCGCGCGCGCTCTATTTGAAGCTCCAGCACGGAGTGAAGCTCCACTGGTTGTAGAGATCTTTTGGGCGGCTCAGAGATGCATGAAACAAGGCGCGTGATTGGTCACAGGGCACGGTGAGCAACCAATTGAGAAGGTCAGGAAGTCTTTCAGCAAAAAAGTAGCACTTCGGAAAGAGGGATCGAATTCGACGGGCCAACGAAGGTTCATGGGAATTCTCTACTTGTACCTCTTGGCAAGCTGGACCGGCAGCATGAATGGACCCGCATATTTTGGGCGAACCTGTATGTAATTCTTTTTGGGGTGCATGTCCCTCTAAACACTGAATACCTCAGCCATTTGCAGCGTAACCTGGGGGTTTTGAGGTTCTCTTCGGATTTCATCTTTGCTCTCCACATCTTTTGGACCCGATGAAGTCCATGCCCCATGTCCAATCCACGAGGAGTACCAGCAGCCAACTGGGTCTCAAAATGCCAGCTGGCAGAATGGAGCTCCTTGCGAGTGCTGTCTTCGACTCGCACTTGCACGCTACTTGTGTTAGCTGTTCGCAACCGTTGCATTGCAGCATCTGGAGGCCTTTCGGGCCCAGGCATGATGATCAGTGAGTGATTGATTTTGATCTCCATCCTCAGCCAGTTTGGCTCTAATCTTGGGTCCCGCAGAGCGTCGAGGATCCTGTAGCCGCTCGGCTCAGTCCGCAGTCCCGCTCGGCTCGGGTGGATGGTTTTGGAGGTCATGCCGTCATGCAGTGTGTAAGCAGGAGAATCCACCTGCTCCCGGCATCCCTTTTTGGCTGGACATCTTCAAGTTTGAAGGTCTTAGATATATTCTTATCTGGAAGGTAGGGAAACACTTTCTCATTGCTTTGTTCGCATTCTTGCTTTGTGCATTTTGTCTACAGCAAAGTCCAGTGCTTTCTGGAGAATTGGGTTTGTCAGGCGTTGTGACTGGCGTGTTTCGGGCGGCTCTTGAAACGTGACCCACCATCTTCGCCCGACCAGTCCACCATGTAGCGAGCCAGTTTGACCAACACCAGAGTAGATGGACCAAATATTCAAACCCCTCAGTTGATGACTGTCACCAACCCCCGACCCCCAAAGGTCAATGTTGAACACGACTTCATTGATTTGTGTTGCCAGGGTTTGATTTGTTTCGTCCATTCGCCGAAACACTCTGGCAGGCTCACTAACTTTGAGTTTGGGGGTAGAAGGGGTCCAAGCGGTTTGAAGGGTTTGAATATTTCGTCCATCTACGGTAGGTAGGGAAAAACTGGGTCGGTCAAGTGGTCAGAGGGTTTTGACCCACAGCGAAATCTGATACGATGAAGCCGGCTTAAAGGTGTTGACAAGGAATGACAAGGATGTCTTGGAAGCATTGGAAGGTCTAATGAGTCGATTTCTCTACTGCGAGCTACGATGAAACAGCAGAAGTATAGACCCATCCAAGAAACACCGGTGTTATGATTGAACTAAAGCGCAGCCGAGGTGTTCAGTGTTGATTATATAATAGACCTTGCTCATGGATAAAGCTCTGCACCATCTTGAAGGGAGTCCGTGAATTACAGGTTGCATGAATTCGGAGTGAGTTGCATCCATGAAGCCCACCACCAGCCGAGCTTAAGCTGTGACCAGCGGCGCGGAGTTTCAAAGCAGCCGCGTTGATAGGAGGTGAAACCGCTAGCACTTTTCTTCCTAAGTTTACCCGCGGGACCCACAGGGCATCAGTGAGGCATGTAGCTGCCCGAGGAGTGCTTTTGTTTTGTTAGCTGGCTATCCCCTCAAAGGAGGATCCCGTAGACCATCACGCAGAGGAAAAACCTGGCAAGTGAAGTCGAAAGTCACGGCTAGATGGGGACTTTTGCACAAGACAGAAAGACATGTCAATGGGTCAACGCCGGGAGACCTTGGTTGAACACAGACAATGAACAGAATCAACCATTGAGAGGTCAACCCAGGAGGGTTTAGGGCTCCAGGTTTTCACTCACAGTCACATGTCAAGGGTTCCATAGACGTCTTCATCATTTTCAGTCCTGGCACCGAACCTGGACACTCCCTGTCACCCTATGCCCTGCTCTTTGTCACAGGTCATTGGATGAATCATTCTTTTAGTTCTTCACCTTCATCGACCATACCATACCCTCCCTCAAAAAGGCAAAAAGGCCCAAACGGGCATCAGCCTGCCATGCCCTCCCGCCCTCAGCCCCACTGCTCAGCATTTACACATTGCAACCCCACCAACAGAGGTTGAAGAACCCTAGTTCGACTATCCCATAGCTACCTCAGGACACAGGTGAACATGTTCAGGCCACTTAATATTTTTTGGCCCGCTCCAGTCCTCCAGTCTCCGAAGCTTCCGCCTGAGGTCTGACGACTTCACACCATTTACATGTTGCCACGAGGCCCGGCCTGAGCAGCACGAGATTTTCCCATGCGCCGTCACGTGACGGTTGGACCGCTCGCTCGGTCGGTTGGCTTGGCTTATGAAGGCAGTTTTTGCCGTGGTTTCTTAGTCTGGGTGTGTCAGAAGTATGAGTACTCTCTTCGCAAGCACAGATATGCACATTCTGATCAGAAGCATCCTGTGCCGGTTGGGCCTGTGTGGTCTGCATCTCTAAGCTTTGCATCTATCTATAGTACAGCTTTGTTCTGAAGGCTAGATCCAGCACCCTCCAAGAAGTTCAATCAGCCTCTCTACCAGCAGTTCCACAGGAATGGTTTTTTGGTCTCTAACTGAGTGGATAGCGGGCACCCTGCCCTCTGGCAGGCTGACTGATTGAAGTCCGTTTTTCTTCAGATGGGCTGGTTTATGCTTTGACCGGACCCGCATGCACCCGCGGGTTTGTGGGTAGAAAGGGGGGGCCCTGATCTCAAGACGCCAACGAAAGTCTCGCCTCTTTCTCAAACAACACCGACAAGACTAGCGTTTCAGTGGGTTGAAAGTCTTTTAATATTGATATGCTAGTATTCTGCTTTGTTGCTCAGTGTCAGGGTTCGCTTCAAGAGTCCAAGATGGCTCGACACTCCTACTTCCTTCAGCTTGTCTCAAACTCGAGAACTTCCCCAAATGGCGTTGGACACATTGAAGGCGCAAAGGCCATTGTCTGACTGCGTTCCCCTGCTTTCCGACATGCTTCAATACTGCTTTTTATTATATAGTTCTCTTGTTTCTGCCAACATATTCACATCAATATCTGGAGATCCTGAAGTCTCAAAGTACCCCGGCAAAAACTCGTATACAAGCAACAAGGCCGGGCCGGGTCATGTCAAATGGTTCTTTTCGGTACTTGAAGTCAGGTCCAGATAGTCTGTGACTTCGGTCTGCCTTCGCTGCGTCCGCCCGGTGTGACGCCTGGCCGAAGACCGACCGAGACGGTGAGCAGAGCTTTTGGTAAGCACGTTCTGCTTGAGCTGGGTATATCCTCTGGGTATATCCTATAGGGTTCTGCTTTCCGGTAATTACTTGCTTAGGGTATATCCTCTGCCCTCTGCTGCAGGGAAATACGTTGTCATTCTTTCCCAGCCTTCCTGGACAGCTTCCTCCGAGTGTTTTCTTTTAGCTGTGAAGCACGTCGGGAACGTCACTACGCCGGAGGCGTGTTTGGCTGATCCATGACCATTATGAGGCATCACCAGGCTGGTCGCCCTGCAGCGGCTGAGCGGCTGCGTGGTCGTCTAGGTGGCAGTTTCTCAGATGTGTACTTTTCACCCTTGTCTGAGATGCGAACCCACTGTACTCCCTACGGCTCCAACCATATCCTCAGGTTCCCACCGAACCTCAGGAAGTAGTTGGAGCCACTGACGACGAGTTTTGCAAGTGACTTGAAAGCACCAAACTAGTCGTGCCAAACGCAAGCACCAGGGCCACCAGTTGGGTTCGATCGATGGGTCGATGGCAGGGTTGGGCCAACTCGAAAAAGGGAGGTCGGACCAACAGAGGTTTTTCAGAACTCCAAAAACCACACGAAAAACCTCCAACTGCCAACTGGTTCTGACAAATCTCTGAAATGTGCCAACTGGTGGGGATCTTCCAACTGTGCCAAAGTTCTGCCTCTTCATCTTTGGAATCAGCCCATTTGGGCCCCCCAAAATGCATAGCTGCTTGAAAGATCGGTCCTTTTCAGGTCACTAAACCTCTCTTGGGAGACCCCATGAGACCCCCCTGCTTTTGGACGGTACTTCGCACGCTATGCGACAGGGCGATCCTGGGATTCCGGTCATGAAAGCTCGCCGATCGCGCGCCCCGCGATCCTTCTTAAGGGGATTCTCTTTCATCAGTGAGAGAGACCCTAAACTTCATGCATGCACATGCTGCCATCTCCCCTGCACATGCCGCGTGAGTTCGTCCCGGTCCCCACCGTGCAACGGTCGGATCGACGTCTCCAAGCGCCGCGCTCCGTAGCGAAGGATCCGCCGGGAGGTGCGAAGGATCACACCGGTAAGAAATGGTGAGAAAGGATCCACTTTCTGAAGAATCCTTTTCAAAGTCAGGGAATTTTTGGGGATCATCGAATCCTTCCCTTCAAAAAAAGCCTGATAGGGGGTCATGGAGTTCTCAGCAAACTGCTTCCACTAGAATCCTTGGACCCGACACCTTCGCAGGGGTCCGGACCCGAACCCAACCCTTTCCATTGGAGAAGGGCCAGATTTCTTAGGGTTTGAATGTTGCGTCCCTCCTATTCCTTGCACGTCTTGTCCTCGGTGTCGGTCCCGTCGGGTGAGTGGGTTGGCGGAAAAGGCTCCATCATCATAAACCAGCAGTTAGGCTTCTTTTTGTGTTTGTGTGCATATTTTGTGTGGCCTCCAAATGACACCTGTCCAAAGAGCCATTGAATTGGGAGAAGACCGATTCCAAAAGAAAAAGAGGAAAATAAAGGCAAGTAGCTCAAGTCTCAAAGTAACTCGGAACATTGGTACATGTACTGGTTTTCAGAGGGTCATTGTCCCTTTTTCTAAAGTACTTTGGTGCTACTGAATATCAATATATATATATATGGTTGGAAGGAATCAAAATTCTTCAGACCGCTGTTCAATCAAAAACCAGTAAGCAAAAAAGAAAAGGCATTGGAGAACCACATAACACATACTTCCACATTGGTCCAACATAAAACGGAGCCTTGTATGGGTGCCCCAAGTTTCTGGCATTCCTATGCAGGGTGTTTGTGAACAGGACTCTGTGATGGGAGCTTGATGCTATTCACCCTGTGACATATGGGAGCTTGATGCAATTCACCCTTGATATGTGGGAGGGAAAAATACTGGCGCAGGAGGCTCGAGTAGGAAAAGCTAGTCCGAAATATGTGCAGTATTGTATTGCGCAAGACAATGATCTTCAGCTTTTTTTTTCCGTATTCGTCCTGGAGGTTCATCTTTGGCACATGTCCTTTTTTTGCCCCCCCCCACCCTCACATCAGGATCAGAGCCAATGGAAGACAGGACACTGCAAGCATGCTTACGGTACTAGTCCATGAGCCAGGAGCTTGCCAACTTAGCTGTCCTTTCTTTGGTAGCTGTCTTCTCTTTGATTTGTATGAAAGCTTGTCCAAAGTCGCAGTTTTCGTAGGCGCGCAAAACGCGCACCGGAAAAACGCCCTTTTCTAAAAGAAAAGCAGGTACGACTGGGTTTGAATAGGAAGACACCCGGGCCCTGGCTGGGTAGACTGGTCTATTTCCCTTGTTCCAGGGTGTCGTTGCCTGGGAGGTCTCCCTGTTTAAGATACAGATCGGGCCTCAACGCTCGGGACCTTCTCAGTCGTCCGAGATAAACCCTACGCACGTCCAGTCTGACCTGTTGGTTGCCTTTCACCTCCTTCTTCGTAGTGTTTTGTCAAACTAACTCCAGTACCATGGGGTCCTTGGTTTGACCAGTGGGTAAAGCTCGTGCCATTCCGATCCGACAGTCCTTGGCCGTCTACTCCTTGCAGCTTCAGCTGGAAGGAAGCAGCCGTGATTGGAGGCGGTGAAGGGACGAAGGGTAGAGGAGAGAAGGATAAAGCGGCAGGTGGCAGTCAGGCTTGTGTGGGGTTGTTCATGGACATAGGCTGATGTTCTTGATTAGCATGTATATATATATACATATATATATATTTTCCCCCAAAGACATACCTTTATAATCCTTTATATGCGTACGCATAAGTATTCAGGTCGCTTCGCGACGACAACCGCCCGCGCCAGTGGCTCTCAGAGAGAGGGCAACAAGACGTATCTATAGCGGACCCTTTGATACATGTTAAAGTTATGTCTCACCTGCCCTTTGCAAGCATTGTTGGATCCATTTTTCGACCCTCTTGACATGGGACATTTTCAAGACAGAGTGATTTTGCACAAAGCTAGACAATGTGCATGGTCAAGGCAAGACTTGGAGATGAACGCAGCATGAAGTGGATTACTAATACGTAGAGAAGTGTTCATAATCACTCTATCTTTGGACCCCTTTACAAATTCTTTAGTTACAAATTGTGTGCAAGCATTGTTTGATACATATGTTTTGACCTTTGAAATTGTAAAACTTTGAGGGGTCCAAATTAACTATGCACTTGCAACCAGCTGACGCATATGCTACGCTACTATATAGTAAAATAGACAATTGCGACCAGCTGATGCATATGATGCAACGATGAAAGATATATCAAGACATACTGTAGACTGTTGAGAAGAGCCGTTTGTTTGCGACTCATGGATGTGGTGATGCACATGATACGATAATGATGATAATGAGAAAATAGTCACGCATAGTGATATGTGAAAACCTTGTGTTTTTCACTGTTTTCTCCAATCCCCAGTTGTCTCCCAGACACACCTCATGATGCAGGAGCACCCCTCCCTGCTAAAGCTATATACAGATGCACACCAACAGTATCACGCCTCTCACCACCTTCGGTGCGGGAGGAATTTTTCTTACTTGCTTGGCTTGACTCGGCTTAAAACGAGTTCGACATAGTTCAACCGTACTGGCTGTCATGTCCAACAGTCTGCCGAACATGTTTGGCTTCAAAGTCACGCCCGTGGCCTTTCGCCTGGCTGGACCTTGTTGGTTCAACATCCCTTTGGCCGCTCTCTTTAGGATCTGTGCTGTGTGAGGAAGAGCCGAACGATGAACCTAACTCGCACCACAACTCCGATCCAAGCATGGCCGCGTAGCCTTTCCTACCTACTATCTAGCGTGTTGAGCTTGACTCTAGCTCAGTGCATCAGTGCATTAAAAGAAAAGAGCGTCACGACGACTGTGGCAAAGATGTCACTCCTTTGTCCTGGAGAAGACCCTCAAACCTGAGGTTGAGGGCTACGTCATCCGTCTCACTCGCCGCATGGTGCCTGCAGCGTAGCGAAGTTGAAGAAGTGCCTGACTTGAATGGCAACACCAGCCTGTGATGACGAAGAGATGCCGGACATCCGCATAAGCCGCACGATCGTGGCAACGAAACCCTACGCTCGATCGTTGTCATGTTGCTGTGTCCATCGAGGGCGGATGAGGGCTTACGAGCGAACAGGAACACATAGCGGAGCTCATCGAGGTTCTACTGGCAGTAGACCACCGGGACTACCCAGTCAAGAGGTGGAGAAACACGAAAACTTCGGGGATTTTCTGGCCACATTGTGTTTGGGGCTGGAGAATCTACGGATCGTGCACGATGTCCGTCTTGGGAGGACGTGCGTTGTCATTGACTTACTCATTCTACTTTGTCCTTTTCTACTTATACTTCTTTTCCTTGAAATCTGTGGAGGCCAAGGACAGACTTGCTATGTCAGATTTGATGGAAGCAGAGAAGCTGATACATCGCAAACTTTAGCTGATGGCTGCTCCTCATTGGCCATCTGCAATTGCGGACCGGACAGGTTTCCAAATGCCACCGGCTCCGAATATTCAAGCAGTACACAGGTGGCATTCACCGGAGCATTGGCTGGCTTGATGGGATTCGCCACATCACTTCACTGGTGCATTTTTATGTAGCATATCTTCTCAGCACCAGGCCTGGCATCTTCGAAGCCGAAGCCCACCTCGCTTGGTCTCCGCCGGACGTGAGCTGGTCTCCCCGTGCAGTTCCTGCGGGCACCCGCCCGTCTCACCAGGTGCTATCCTTTCGATGGCGTTGCGCAGAAGTACCGTAGACACCCGACACCGCCTGAAGTTACAGGGATCTTTTGAAGTTGTAGCTCAAACTGGGAAAATGCAGAGTCACTTGCAAAACCCAACTGTAGGAAGGCATAGCTCTTGCAGCATCGCAGGCGATTGCCGGGTTTGCTATCTTTGATGCATCTTAAGCCGCAAGCTTAACATACTATGAATGATTGCTTGCTCTACAGGGAATGGGAAGTTCTGCTGGCACCCCCTCACTCGCTCACTCACTCACTCACTCACTCGCTCCCTCCCTCCCTCCCTCCCTCCCTCACTCGCTCCACGTTTCAGTCTCACTCTCCACGCACTCACTGATTCACTCCCTGTCTACCTCTTTCAACTCATCAATTCTACTTCACATCTAGCGTTTTCCGGCCATTTAAATCGAAGTTCAGTTTGATGAGAACCCTCTGCAAGAACTTGAGGACTTTTTGAAGCCTGCGTGGCAACATCGTGAACTGTACAAAAGGTGTGACCAAAGGCCGAAGCTGTTTGGGAATTTCCCGGTTGACCAACTTGACCAAACACATCCAAACACTATATAGGTTGAAACCAAGGTCAAGCGAAAAACCACTGTTTAACAGCAGAAACGTTGCCCTATCCAAGCATTCTCCATTCACTGAACCATGATTTCTTTCTCCGAAACATCGTCCCAGGCGGTTGATCCTGGATTGGCTCGTGATCTCGTGGCTCCTTTACTTCCTCATCCTCTTCCTCCTAACCTTCACCTACATCGCTGTGCGCAAGCGCACCATCAGGTGCCACAGGGGTCGCTGGGTTGTACAGATGTGACAGATGTGTGAAGCCGATGTGGGTTGTGAAGCCGATGTTCAACTCTCCCGATGTTCAACTCACCCGATCTTCAAATGCAAATGCAATGTATACCTAGCACTTGCACCCTCCGGGTGCCCTGGAGTGGGAGACCTGTTTACGTAGGGTAGGGCAGTCTATTGAACACTAGCTCCACAAGTTGTGTCTCAGCAAACAGCCAGGCAATTGCATCTGCACTCGGAGGAATCCTTTGATGAAGAGGCTGCCAAGTCGCGGGCCCATGTCAGGCGCGTGTTGGTCGCAACGTGAGGGAATCCGATGTAGCTGGGCTTTGTGTAGGATTCGACCCTGTGTGGAGTAGCAGTTTGGGGACCTACTTTACCCTATGGATGCACATGACACATGCTTTTCGCAGTTGCTTGCGTGGTGTTGCAGCCTACTTCTAGTCAGGGGGGTCGAGACACGACATCCATTCCCATGTGCTATAGTATCAAATACTTGCTTATACCAGCAGTCACAAAGGTGCTTAATGAAGACTAAGGGTGCCCCTGTCACATCCACTCACTGGATGGGACTAAATTGACTAAATACCACCCAACTCCATGTGACTCCTGGTAGAACTCATCTTTTGAATTGTCCACCGGTGACCAGTGAACCGTTTCGTCAACGTCTCGACCAACCGAATCGTCACGTCTCGAGTGATTCATGGTTGGTCGACAGCCAACACATTCCCCCGCATGTTTTCTGAAAGAAACGTAGCAACATACATGTATACATATATAACCATATGCTACATACAGTATATATATATATATAACCATATATATGCTTGGCTGAACAAAATGGAAACTGACAGCAACAAGTATGGAACTGTTCAATGGATCTATCATAATCCTTGAACGGGGATGTTCTGCCAGTTTAATCCAGTTTGTATGTCGAACGATAGGTGCACACACTACACTCCAATATTGTTCTAACAGGACTCCGTTTTGCTTGACTATTTGCTGACCGCTAGGGCGCCCAGAACCTGCCAATCTAAAGACCATCACCCAGCTTCTTGAAAGTATGTCCGAATGACCGAACTTTGCCAATCCCTGTTTGTGACCAAACTCACAGGTTTGTTTGCCACCCGAACCACCCAGGAGATCAAGCTCGGTGAAGAACCCACTTCGGTCACTGTGTTCTCCGCCAGGCGCTTCTCCATGGTGCCCACCGGCGACGATGAGACGTCCGATAGTGCGACGATGGAGACGGCGGGGCGACCGGCGACCGGACGGGGGACACCGCGAAGCGGACGGGAGCCCAATTGGGTGCGCCGGACGCCAGGGTGCGTGTGTGTTTTTGGTGTTTTTGGCAAGGCAAGCTGACCTCTGGACACTGATGATTGATAATGATTGATCGACGTTTCCACTATGGATTTTTTCTGTTTTGTGGACCAGAGCTGAACTAGGGTCGACATTTATTCTGTTTTTGTACGGCGCACGGAAGACGGAAGAGGTTGATTTGCTTTGGACGGCACGCCAGTGCCGCGTCAGCGCAGGTGCAGTCTGGTTACCAGCGCTGGTTCTTTGGCGTCTTCCTCTATGTGCTTTGGATGATTGCTGGGAGCCCAGGGCATTAGATGGCTGTGGAGGATGAGACTCCTTGGTTTGGGAAAGGTCGCACAAAAAAAAGGGGTCCTGAAACCATCTGAGAACGGATTTCCCTACTGAATATACCTAGGATGAAAACTACAATGAACACATTTGAACAACTCATGTCTGGATTAAAAAACCATTTGACAAAAGGTCCGCTTCGGTTTTGTCGTGGGACCTCTACACGATTTCTGTCCACAAGAGGTGTGATGATGGCCCATGCAGATGATGGCCATGTTTTCATCCATTTTTCCGTTCTGAACGGGGGATTGCAGCGTGATGGCCATTGGGGTTCATGATTTAAGACATTTTCTACAGCTGGACATCAGAGGCAAAGTTGGCCAAGTCTGACTGGCCAACTGCCTGGCCCAAAAGCCTTTGAATAAGAAGAACATGCTTTTAAATATGTTAAAATGTACTTAGACTCCAAAGCATTTGAGACGTAACAAAGAACTTGCCTTTCAATTCAGAGTTTAATGGCGGTGTGGTATCATACCTAATCTGTAATCTATGCTCCTTGTGATTCAGGTGCATTCGAACATCGTTGTCGCAGAACAGCATACATGAAGCACATCTCACATTTCTTGGACCGCCAGAGCCCCCAGGGATGCCCAGGGTTCCTCATGGTGTCTCAAAACATTCGGGCAAAGTATATATGCCTCCATCCGCAGGAAAACCAGGAGCCTCTCAGGCTTCTTCTTCACGAAGTCCTTCTCTGCCTTTGTAGGACAGTTCTGGGAGAGTAATGACTCCACGGTGTCCTTTTAAGGACTACCTGGTCAACCACCAGGTATCCACCAGGTCGCCTTCCGACAAAACAGGTATCCTTTGGTTGACCTGGTGGTGCGGTCTAACATGAAGTGGAAACAATCATACTCTCCCTGGAACTAACATGGAAGTTGATGGCCTGGCCCCGAAAGGAAGACCATTTTCCATCCACCTGTTTGTAAGGTGGCGAACTCCACGTAACCATGTTAGTTCCAGGGAGAGTATATGTTTGGAAACATCTCCAACTTGAATCAATGGTGGGTCAGGACTCCTAGGGCATGGGCAAGCAACGTATATAGTAGGTTCTGGCCCGCCTCTATCCTTCCCTCCGAACATTCAATCAGTCAACACAACCACAAAGCTGAGTTCTGCCGAACGGGAGGCTTTTTTGTTGTCCTCGTGGGCGAATCCCCTCATTGTCCCTATGACCTGTAACAGTCGATCAAGCATGATCACTCTTTTTGCGAAAAGGCCTACACCCTAAGCATCATCCAGGGATGACCAGGGAATAGCCATATAGCCCGTCCACGGTCCAAACACGACCCGTGGACGGGGCCGTAGTGGCCGTATCGGGCAGTCCCGTCTTGTCCAGTCCGGAGTGTCTGAGGAGTAGACTTAGTCCTCATGTTTTGTCCCATCCAACCCACTTGCTTAGTCTTCCCCATGTCCAACTAACAACAGAGAGTGGACTGCAACAGCAACATGACCCACAATCCACCGTCATATAAATGACCGATGCTCGATACACATGCTTTGATCCAGGATTTAATTAAGCATTTGATCACTCCTTTTTTTTCCTTGGTTCCCAACCCCTTGACACACGTTGGCCCAAAGGATTTTATAACAAGCACCTCTTGGGAAAAAGAACCCTAGGGCACCACTGAAAAACTAGCTAGAAAGTCACCTTGGTTCGGTAGGATTTTAATACGTAGAATCCTGAGGATCTACCTTTGCTGTCGGTAGCAAGGGGGATCTTTGGTTTTATTGAGAATCGTTGGATCATGGGCAGAGACTGTGCCCGATTCCACGATATCTCCTTTGTTGTGCAGAAGTTTGTACCAGCAGTTCCATGTCGGGATGCTGAAGGATATCCGAGGGCAGGGTGCCCAGCTACTCCACTCACTTAGGACGACCATTCCTTTGGAACTGCTGTAGTCTTCCTTGTCTGGTGAGTGGATCACCTGCATGTCTCCTTTTGTGGGGATTGGGTTTCCGACTAATTCGCTTCACCTTTGTCCAAGGATCTTCGGCTCGCCGCGGGAGTACCAGGGTGACTGACTTTGCACTTCTGAGGTCCCCCCTGTTCTCGCAGATCCAGTTGGCGCCACCGCAGCAAAGAGGTTTTTTTTCCCCACCTGTCAGGTGAGGGTTGTTAGATTTTATGTCAGCCCCATCTCCTCCTCCTCCGCCTCCTTCTACTCCTCATCCTCCTCCGCCGGACCTCACCCACGACCATCCACGCCCAGTGTTCCCTGCCGGACCTCAACCACGACCATCCATGCCCAGGGTTCCCTGCCGGACCTCAACCACAGCACACAACCACAAACACACAATTACAAACACATAACGACAAACATACAATTACAAACACATAACCACAAACACAACCACAAACACACAACCAATAACACATAACCACAAACACACAACCACACACACAACCACAAACTCAACAACAAACGCACAACTACAAACACGACCAGAAACACAGTCACAAACACAAGCACAACCACAAACACACAACCACAAACACACAACCACAAACACACAACCACAAGCACACAACCACAAACACACAACCACAAACACACATCCACAAACACACAATCACAAAGACACAACCACAACTACAAACACACAATCACAAAGACACAACCACAACCACAACTACAAACACACAATCACAAAGACAAAACCACAAACACGCGACCAGAAACACAACCACAAACACAACCACAAACACACAACCACAAACACACAACTGCAAACACAACCACAAACACACATCCACAAACACACAACCACAAACACAACCACAATCACGCAGCCACAAACACAACCACAATCACTCAGCCACAAACACAACCACAATCACGCAGCTACAAACACAACCACAAGCACGCAACCACAAACACAACCACAAACACAGAATCAAAAAACACACAGCCACAACCACAACCACAACTACAAACACACAATCACAGCCACAAACACAACCACAAACACAATCACAAACACACAGCCACAAACACAACCGCAAACACATCCACAAACACACAATCACAAACACACAGCCACAAACACGGAATCACTAATCACAAACACAACCACAACCACAACACAGCACCAACCACAACCACAACACACAACCACAGCACACAACTCCAACCACAGCACACAACCACAGCATACAACCACAACCACAACACACAACCACAGCACACAACCCGAGGACCCACAAGCAAAATCGAGAACTACAATACAAACGACCATGGCAACATGCTCCTCACTATGGCATCAAGACAAATGATTGAAATGTCATGGTGGGGACCACTCGAAGTAAAGTAATTTGTCTTTTTTTTGCGGATTGCGGAGTGGAGCAAGGAGGGGTGGAGGTCAGTGATGAAGAAAGTTTGTTTTAGCTGTTTTTTTGCATAATGGACATGGTTCCATTTTTTATATGTACCATATTCGTCACTGGACAGTGGTCCCAAGCACTCTTTTTAAAAAGGCACCTGGGCTTTTCCACGTTCTAGTGCTTTCGCGGTTCCTTGCTTCCTTGAGTCAGTATATCCGTGCTCCTGCGGGCCCGCTCGCCGGGTATAGATGGACTTGCAAGTCACAAGTCTGCGACAGCTGCATCTTGACTCCTTGGAACGTCCAAATGGAACAGAAGATGAACTTCGTTCATACCTGGACCCTCCATTCGATCCCGTTGTTTCCTGCTCATACCTTTCTGAGAAGGTATTGTGTGTGTGTTTTATTTTTTTTAATGGGACTTATAGTCATCAGCTGAGGGCTAAACCGGAACACTCCGAACCAACGGATAAAATCCATTGCGCCAGAACCCCAATATGTCAGATTCTTAAACATTTGCGACATTTGTGCACAGATAGATTTGTTCGTTGAGTGCTGTCCAGCGGAACTCAAACCTGAACTGGCCGTGGCTCAAAACAAGGCCCAGGGCAAAGAGTGGCCAATCCAAGTTCAGATGTGACATGTTTGTTCCATCATGTTTCTCATGTACAAAAAATGCAAGAGGCCGGGGAGTGTTGCTATTCCCCATCTATCTCCATCTATCCCCAAATGCACAGAGGCCGAACCGAATGACCATAGCTGCTCCAGGCGTGGCTCACCTGGGAGAATTACTTCGGCTTGGGCTACGAGGCCACGTCAAAGCTCTTCATCTTCATTTACGCCCAGAGCCCAGGACGCCCAGAGAGAGAGCACTGAGAGCGGATCTGAACCGACGCCTAAGGCGTCGCTGTGCCGGGTGTGATCGAACCGAGGTGGGCTCGCATCTGCTGCTGTTCCTCACCACCAAGCATCCTCGGCGAAGCAGTCCGAGCGCAGTCCGTGTGGGGAACTGGGTCCCCCTCTGCGCTCGCTCGAACGGGTCCGAGAGCGAGAGCGGAGGTTGGAGGTGGAACACGGTGGTGTCACGTTGTCCCCCGTCCAACAAAGCATTTAGTTTCGTGGACCATCCCCTGTTTGTAGAGGACGAGATCTCGTTATGGATTTTTTTCCAGGGGCCGTGTTCCACTTTTCTTTGCAGGGAGGGTCTTTGATCCATGCCCAGCATGATTTTGCGCGGAGCTAGGAGTTCCAGGTGTGTGACTGAAAAAAAGAAGATCCAGGGTCAGAACCTGCAGTTCTGGACGTGACCTGGTCATACACTGTCTATGTTTGCCTTCCTACAAGGGGGATCAAGGGGGTATGGGATGGTACCCTAGTTTTGGGTGGGACCCCTGTTAAGAGGCCGTGCGCTTTCGTTCGTTTAGAGATATACGTGCTACGCCACTGCATGTGCTATGTGACGTGTTGGGGTGGGGTGGGGTGCTGGGTGGGGGTGATCTGTGCCACCATGCGTGAAAGAAAGTGCCGCAAGGGATAGTGCAACATCAACTTCAGACAATATGATGAAATCGAGTAATTTTGTCCACCTTATCTTCAAAAAAAGGGCACCACAGTGCAATGCAACGAGAACACCATTTTTCCA